TGTACAAGGAAGGGGACCGTGGGCTGTGCCCTCCATGTCTGGAGACAGGTGGGTCCGGAGAAGCTGTAGAGGCTGCACTTACATTGCGTGGGCCGGGTGTGTGTGTGTGGGGGGGTGCGGCTTGAGATTGGATGGGTGCAGTCACTCCAATGCTGACATGCAGTGTGTGCCCCCAACACAGCTTGCAGAGCTCATGGGCATTCCCAACAGGAATTCAGCTCTGGCAAGCAAGGAGTGGCCCCACCAGATGCCCAGTGCCCCATGCCTAGTTGCCTTTGAGATGCCAACATAGCTCTAGACCCCATCAAGCCCTTGAGGGAATACAGAGGGACTTCAGGCCACAGGCCTCTTCCACCAGGCCAGAGGGATGGGCATCCAAAGTGGATTCATGCTGTGACTCTTCCGGCATGGTGGTTTCCATTGCTAAGCAGGAGTTTTTACGAAGCAGAGTTGGATCCTCTGGACAGGAACACACTCATCCCCACTCCCTGTGAGGCCAAGGTATCTTCCATCCGCCTGGAACATTCCAGCATCTTGGTGTTCTCCTTCCCAGGCTGAAAGCAAGGGGGTCATAGGAGATTGAAGGTCACTCGGCTCCCTCTAGGTCTGGCGTGCTAAGGCCCGTCTGTGCCATTTTTTTTTTCCTAAATTAATTTTGGGCTGAAAAAGGCTCAAAGAAGGCTTTGTTCCTCTGACACTCTGAAAGAAAGACCCGTGGGAAGTCTGACATCTGCAGCAGGAGCGAGTGGATGGGAGGAGCCCGAACGCCCTCCGCTCCTGAAGCACGCCTCAGGTTTCTAAGTGTCTCATCTCAGCTTCGAGTTTGAGTGACATTCTAATTATTTTGTTTTTTTCTTCTTTTCCTGGTGTGAGTCTCCAAAGAGTCCCTCTCTCTCTCAGGTTCTGAGGGATGCAGAACATTGTGTGGCTCACGGACGTCGAGGTTAGCCTAGATGGTGGCGCCCGCTTCCCTACACGGTAGGCGTGAGCTTTGGCAGCTGCCCGTGGTTCCACTTGATGGACACACAGAATTGAGCCTTGCAGAGCTGGGAGTGGTCAGGCACCAGACAGACAGACCTACCCGGCAGCACTGTGTTCCTGTGACCATGGCTGTACAGGTCAGGGACTTCCGCTGGACACCACCCCCAGAGCTTACCGTCTGAGTGTTTTTGTTTCCCAAGAGGTAGCTTGGTTGTCAGAGTAACTCATGCAGCGAGTCTTTAAATAGAGTGCTCCCAGGAGGCAGTGCACAGTTCAGCTCCCTGCAGTGCGCACAGCCCCCCTGTGGTGCCGGGATTGCGGGGATCCCTGTGGGGCCTTGACACCCTGGAGACATTGCTTCTGAACAGAGTGCTCCCTCTAAAACCAGACTTCACGAGTAGGCACCCATTAGGTAGTTGTCACATGTGAGCACTCACATGTTCCCATAGGTGCTGGGCTATGCTCACCCTGTCTCCTGGGTGTCAGTGGCTACATCTGAACACTGTTCTTAAGGGGGCCCAGGCCAGCATCTCTATGTGGCCACAGCCCCTTTGGGCCTTCATATCAGATCTACTGATTAGCCTGCCTCCTGGGCTCCCTCTGCAAGTGTGTCTAGGATTAGATACATCTCTCTTCCCACACAACCCCACCTACCCAGGTTACCTTGCTTGGGTAGCTGCAGTAGCCATTGCTGACCCCACAGCAGCCAGAGGACTGGACAGGCAACTCATGTGCCACCAGTCCCTGTGGGGATCCTCAGCTGTCCCACGTCCTCCCCATGGGAGAAGGTTGTTAGTGTTGATCTCAGCATGTCTGGGAAGGTGCTGTTTATTTCAGTGTGCTAGCTTTTGTTAGAAAGACTGTTAGGAGGCCCAGACTAACCCATTCAGCTAGTGGGCAGCAGCCCCAGCCTTGCTGAGAGGTCTGGTGACCCAACCTTGTGGCCTCCCCATGGATCATGAACTTTCTGAGCAGCCATAATAAATGCCCCCTGCTGTCTAGTGAACCTCACACTCGCCACCAATGTCCTGGTCTAGGTTCTGTGGGACTTCCTGGCTCCCCATGTTGACCTCTCATTTTCCTCGGTGTTCTAGACACATGAGTCCTTAGCAAGCCTCCCACCTACCATCCCGGCGTCCTCAGGCCCCTCTCCCGTTCCTTCTGTGGCGGTCCCGGACCTCTCCAGGGATACCACTGTCTTAGTTAGGGTTTCAGGTTCTGGGATAAAACACCATGACCAAAAGCAACCTGGGGAGGGAGGGGTTCATTTCGTCTTAAACTTGGAGATAACAGTCTATCATCACTAAGGGAAGTCAGAGTAGGAACTCAAGCCGGGCGGGAACCTGTTGGTAGGAATTAACGCAGAGGAGTGCTGCTCACTGGCTTGCTCTTCATGGCTTGCTCAGCATGCTTTCTTAGAGCACCCAGGACCAACAGCCCAGGGATGGCACTGCCCACAGTGATCTGGGCCTTCCCACATCAATCATCAGCCAAGAAAGTGTACCATGGGCTGACCCATGGGCCAGTCTGGTGAAGGAATTTTCCCAATTGAGGTTGCCTTTTTCAAAATGATACTAGCTTGTGTCAAGATGACATAAAACTAGCCAGCACACCCTCCCCCGAGGCTGTCTCTGTCACCCCATCATCCACTTGCAAGCACAAATCCTGATCCCTGGTGAGATGAAATGAACAGGGGGTTCATATCTCCTGATCTCTCTGTGGAGGGCATCATTGTAAATGCTATAAGTGCCCTGATAAAAGAGTCCCAGAGAAGTCCTTCACCATCTCTCCACCCTGTGAGCTATCATGGGAGGCTAGTTGTCTGTGATTCTGAAGTGGACCCTTGATAGGCCTCTTCACTTTGGATTTTCAATCCCCAGATTAAGAAATAAATTTATGGTTTTTTTATACGTCACTTATCTGCCACTTTGTCATAGCATCTTAAGACCCCCTTTGGCCTTTCTTCTTTGCATCTCTGATGGACCTGCCTCTTCTCCCTCCTGCACTAGGATGTGGCTTCTTCTATGCCCACCCAGACCTCATTGGCATCAGTTCAGTCTGCAAGCTTATGGTAGATTGATGGTGGGTGGACCAGGGAGTAGATGAATTTTGGACTGGTGGCTGATAGGTGGGTGATTAGGTGAATGGTGTGTGGATAGATGGTGGGTGGGTAGTGGATGAGTGGGTAGATGGGTGGATAGGTGGATAATGAGCAGATGGATGATAGGTGATTAGATGATAGATAAGTGAATGGCTGAGGGATGAATAAGGGATGGTGTGTGGGTAGATGAATGATGGGTTAAATAGATGGATGGATGATGGTGGAGGGATGGTGTGTAAATGTGTGATGGGTAGATGGATGGATTTTTAGTGGTGGATGGACCAAAGGAACTTTCCGAGACAGTTGGAGTATAGGAACTATCATCCCAGAAGACTGTTATTTTCTCTGAGGCTGTCTCCTCACCTTGTCTCAGCTAGTGTGGAAATGACAGACATTGGAGTTGAGTCTCTGTGTCTCAAGCTAAGGTTTTAGTTCTTTCGGGGATAGTTGCTCCTGGCTTACAAGCGAGTCACCTGACCCTGGCTTTCTTGAGAGACGGTGGACGGGCCCAGGTAATATGTGTAGGCAGGATGTGGAGGTGGCTAAGGCAGAGCCACGGGGACCAACTGTGGCTGCTCCCACTCGCAGCTGCCCTGCCTAAGGTCTCATCTGAGTCACAGAAGCTCCTCTGGAAACTTCTCCCTCCAGTGCTCCGTATCCTCAGACTTGGGCACGTTCCGCTCATGGGGAGACCCTGCCAGCCTGAGCCTGGGCTTCCCATCAACACTGCTCATCAGCAGGAGCAGCCACGTGATGTGGACGCACATTTCCGCCCCCCACTGAAACTTTTGAACCTTCTGAGGTGCTGACTAGCCTTCCCTCAATGGTATCCTGGGTACCTGCAGTGTGAGATCTGTACCTTTGGATGAAGCTCCTTCATTAAAGACGACTGGGGATGGCACTCGCCTTTAATCCCAGCACTCAGGAGGCAGAGCCTCCAGGATCCTCTTGTCTCTGCCTCTCAGAGTTGGCATTACAGATGGGTACCACTGCATCCAGAGTTTTTAGTGGATGTTGAGGATCCAGTTTCAGAGCCTAATGCTTGTACTATAAGCACTTTGCTCACCAAGCCACCTCCTCAGCCCGTTTGCTTTTTTATGTGTGTGTGTGTGTGTGTGTGCGCGCGCGCGCGCGTGCGTGCGTGTGCGCGCGTGTGTGTGTGCGTGTGCGCGCGCGTGTGTGTGTGTGTGCGTGCGTGTGCGTGCTCGCGTGCGCGCATGTGTGCATGTAGGTGCATATGTGCGTGAGGTTGCACACACATGCCTGCCTACATGTGGAGGCCGTAGGACCACCCTGAGTGCCACCCTCAGGAATGCCGTCTACCTCCTCTGAGACAGGACCCCTTGTTGGCTTGGAGCTCACCGAGGAGGCCAGCCTGGCTGGCCAGCATCTATCTGTCTCCCCTCCCCAGCTCTGGGACTGCAAATGTGCACCGCCATTGGCCAGCTTTCTACGTGGCTCGTGAGCTTTGAACTCGGGCCCTTGTGCTTATCCGGCAAGCGCTTTACCAAGTGAGCTGTCCCCTAACTCCCCAAAGAACGACTTTAAAGAAAGTGCAGAATGGTCCATGGGTGCCGTTTAGTGATCGCATAAAATGGGCGAGGTCCTGGGTTCCACCCCCAGCATACCATCCCAGAACAACGCAGGCCCTGACTGTGTAGAGGATGACAGTCCTGCTGTGGGCATGCTGGCTTTTAGTCCTCAGGAGGAGCCTGCATGTGCTAGTCATAAAGCTGTTTGGATTTTACCTCCTGGAGTACTTCCCACAGAAAGAGGCCCCTCCCTTCTTCTTTGAAGCACAGCAACCTGGCCTTGGAGGATGGGTCACTTTTCATCCCCAGAAGTGAATCCTATTTGGGGTCCTTGTCTCTCAACCACTAGCCCATGACTGATGCTGTCCTCTGTCTTGCCTCTGCAGGGCCTAATCAAGATCCGCGGGGACAAGTGCTGGCTGGACCTGACCTGCATGGACTTCCACTATGAGGTGAGCATGGACCAGGCTGTGGCCGAAGCTGTGCGCTGCTCTCAAAAGTTCCTCCATCCCTCCTTTCTCTGGGCCGGGGCGGGTCACCAGGTGGTTTATAGAGAGTCTCCTCCTGCTGGGCTGGTTCCTCTGGTTATCTGGTTCCCTTTTTCTGCCCAGGCCTCCCTCTAGGCCAGGCTAGGCCCTATCCCGGGAGCTGCAGCTCTGGCTGTCTCTCCTGCAGGTTCAGGGTGAGACTCCTCTATGTAGCCTCTGCTGTGCTTGGGCTCTCAAAGACAATTGTCCCAGGCACTGGGACAATGCGGACCCTTGGCCCAGGTCTCTGTCCCTCAAAACAGCCTGCCCTTACAGATGCTCATGCACTTGTGTTGGAGATGAGGTCAGGAATAGCTTTATCCCAAAAATTAATCCAAGGGCATGTGACACCGTGGTGGTGTCCATCTGTCCATCATCACACTAAGCCGGGAGAACTGGAAATCCTGCGTGTGTCTCACTCTCCTTTCTTCTCCCTGCCCCAGCCCACACTGCCCACTGCTGGAGACTAGCAGTTAGTTACTGCCTTCTCTCCATTGAGAGCTGTGGGTGCCAGTCTCTACCTTTGTCATATTTTAGTACTGAGTCTAGACACTTACGTCCTCTAACCACTGAAGACACTAACTCATGCCGCTGCTCCTCTAGTGTGCTCATTGCTGTCAATCAGCCGGAGGGATGCCCTGGCTGCTTGTGGTTAACCAGGATGTCTAGACTTTACTTTTTAAGGTCTTGAGAGTCCCCATGCTATCATTCCCATCTATCCCTGAAATCCTGTCTCTGCTTGACTAAGGACCCCACAATCTTCTCTTTCCTGTGGTGGGGTTTCCGACCTCTGTAAGTGCCAGAGAGGAAAGCATGCTCAGCCTCGCAGTGACAGGAGAGCAGCCATTAGAATGGGTGGCTGGCTGTATGCAATGAGCTATTTGCACATACCGGCCGTGGCACAGAGGGTAGGCCCGTCGGTGAAGCCTGGGCTTCCCCTGTCCGTCAGGTAGCAGCATCTTACTAAGATGGTCCCACACCCGCACAGCGTGGTGGGTGCCAGTGCTGTGGACACAGGTCACCTGCAGGTTAGCACTGGCAGGTCCAGGAACTATCTGGATGCAGAGTTCATGGGGAGCTGATACATCAGTGTCTCCTTGACACAAAGCCACGTGAGGCCTGTTCTGCAGAAGCACCACATGCTGGAGCCTGTACATCCTGTATCATGCATCTCATTATAAACCTGGGCCCACTCAAGAACTGAAGCATCTCAGTTCTCTGTCCCCTTCCCTAGGGCCTGGCCAAGCACATATGAGGCAGGGATCACATCACATCCATGGAAGCCCCATGGCCACTGCTGCACTCTGACTGGTGAAGGTCGGGTGTGAAGGGTCCTGAGCCTATTGGCTGCTTTGGAGTATGATAGGCCAGGTGGGGGAAAGTGATCCCTTCACCTTATGGGTCAGGCTGACAGACTGGTATTCTGTCCATGCATGGCCAGTGGACAGGGCATGCCACTAGCTAGCCTAGAGATGCTAGAAATTCCCCCAACCCCAATTCTTCCTGGTTAAGGATTAGCCCAGGCATGTACTTGAGGAGAAGCAGAGGGTGCCTGTCAGGGCCCCAGCCTCAGAGGGGGCGGCTGGCACGGAGGCCAGAGCTGGGGGTGGCTGGCCTTGGAACAGAGCCAGACCCAACTGACCTAGGCTGTGATGAGGAGGGCATAACAGGGAGAAGGCCCTCCCGACAGAGTAGTCTCTCCCCGGTGGCCACCGCACAGTGCCTTGTCTCAGGGCTGTGCTTCCTCAGGCTCCGTAGTTGGCATCCGGCTGAACAGAGGCCAGCTTTATGGTTAGAACTCGCACAGTCTGTGACGACTGTCCATGTGGGCGTCTACACCTGTGCTTTTGCCACGACAGTTCACAGGCAACGGTGCAGGCTGGGGAAGGAAGGCCTAGCTGGATTCAGGCGAAAACATCAAGGGCAGGCCCTCCATCTCATCCCTGCAGAGACATGGACAGCGGAGGGAATGCAGCTATGCGTGTGAGCTAGGCCAGTGCCAGTGCCAGGCCAGGCCTTGTGCAATCAGTGCTTATGGATGGGTTAAACTGTGGCCCTTGAGCTCTGGGAGACCATTGTCTCGACCTGACTGCGTCCAGAGACACAGCCCCACATCAGACAGCTATCATCACAGGCAGCAAGTCCCAGGTGGTCTATACCCTCCGTTCAGTTTGCCTAGAAGCTGGGGTTCCCATAGCCATGTTCAGTCAAATGGCTTGTAGATCAGCTCATAGAAAGGACTCTGGGGACATTTTGTTGAAATTCTGCTTATTATGAAGTAAACATTTGAGAAAGGCCAAAGGGAAGATGCGTGGTCTCTCCGGTTCCCTCCTGAAACTTCAGCATCCTGGCTTGAGCATGCTGACCTGATTCAGTGTGGGAGCATGGCTAAAGATCTTGCTGTTGGGACTGATAGTCCTAGCCAGCTCCAGCACTGACCCTGGGATCTGGTGAGCAGAAAACTCATGGCAGGAATCTCTGTGACCAACCTCCTGCAGGAGTGGCATCATCAGCATGGATTTTTGGTGGGTAACAGAAGGTGGATACCACCAATGCCACCCATTCTAGAGGTTTCGGGAGCTGTGGGCCCCAAACCCAGACAAGGGTCAAGTATAGATGTTCCTTGACTATAACAGGGCCATGTCCTATTAGAAGCATAGGATTACAACCAGCCTTCCACATAGCACAGCTGGGTGTCACAGCTGACCATGTGCTGTAGTTCACCTTCACAACATTAGAGAGGAGCCTGTCATTCATGACCAGCCCAGGAAACTGCTAGGGGATGGTTTCTACTGAGCATCTGTCACTCACACGCCATTATAAGGTTAAAAAGGACCCTAAGCTGGTGATCTTAATGTTCTTTCCATATCATAAAAGCTCCAAGCCCAGCCCACCCATGAAATTCTCCACATGCTCTTCTGCTTGATATCAGACACCCCGTCCCTGGCAGGCAGGAGGACATGCCATGTGACTTCACAGGCCCTGTGTTCTATAGCCGGGAAGAGACTGGTGGGTCCCTGGGCCCTGCTGCTTACTGCAGCGCTGTTCTCAAATGTGGCTCCCACGAGGTGCCTGCTGTGACCACTGGTCACTGTTGTGTAGGCCCTGGAGCTCTGCTCCATGGTGTGTGCACAACGCGGGTGCCATAATAGAGTTGCACACACAGCCTCCCTGAGTGTGTCCTCTGCTGGAGCACCATTGGAAACCCTGCCGAGAAGCTCGGGGCCCTGCCCACAGCGTGACAGTCACAGTCCACTGTGTGCAGCATCCATGAGATGTCAAACACGGATCACCCAGAGCAGCTGTGTGCCACACTCAGGGAGTACAGTCAGGGAGTCACATTTGGGTATTCGCCTCTGACCAGTGTGAATGCACTCAAAACTTGCAGCAGCAGAATGCCTCCATTTCTCACATTCAGACCTGGAGTTGGGCATGTCCCTTGTAGAAAAAGCTTCACCCTACAGCTTCCCAGCTAAGTCTTAGCAAGGAGGGATGCCTTTTGGTTCACTCAGCTGTTGGAAGATGTTCTGGCCTGCGCACGGTTACCCATAGAGGACTGTACTTGCCTCTCTCCCGCCCCCCCCCCATGCCCTCTCTCCCTTTTTCTCTCTTTCTCTTTCTCATTCCTCCTCTTCCCCTTTATCTGTCTCGCTCTCGCTCTGTCTGCCTGTCTCTGCCCACCCCTCCTCGTTTTCTCGCTCGCTCTCCCCTCCTTCCCCTGCCTTGCTCAGGGCAACATGAATGAGGTAATAGAAGTCTGCACTGTTGCTCTGCTGAGCTGACCTTTAATCCAGGGAAATAAATCACTTTCAGCTCCTATTATTGGTGAAGCCCCGCAGCCTCGGCATGCACAAAGGAAGCCTTTGTGCGGCATTACTTGTTTGTAAGTTAGAGTGTCAAGCCCATGGTAGGAGCAGCTGATGTCACCTCCACCGTGGTCAGCACAAACGCGGGTGCCATGATTATGCCTGGGAACTGGCAGGCCGGGCAGAGTCTGTGGGTGTGTCGGTGCACGTCCCTGCGTGTCTACATACGTGTTCTGTAGCATGCATGTATTGGTACACATGTATATTAGGGCAGTGTACCTGATGCAGGTGGTGGACAGCCTGCGGCATGAGCCCGAGGACCTGGGCTCTGCGGCTTTCTTCCCTGCTCCTCCATTCCTCTGACTAGGAACGGAGTCTGTGCCCACAGGCAGCTTTGTTTAGCATTGCTATACTTTCTCCTTTCTCTCTCTTGAGAGTAGGAGGTTTCATTTCCTGTGTAGGTTTCCTATCTCTAAAGATGGGAACGATGGCCCCAGGTTGCTGCAAGGATAGCACTAATCCCTAGGGTGCCGAGTACGTATGTGGGCATGTGTCTCAGATGCTTCCCCGGCACCAGGAGCTGGGGCAGCCCAGCCTGAAGATGCCATCTGCCAGTCCCTCCTCAGCAGGAGCTGGGAGAAGTGCACCCTGGGAAGGAAGGATCCGAGGGTGCTACCTCTCACACAGAATACCTCCACCACCCTGGCTCCTGGAAGCCTGTGGTCAGCCGTAACTGAGGAACGGGGAGGGCTCCGGTCGGATAAGGCTGGGCCCCCCGTGATAGGAACAGGTGCTCGGCTGGGCTGAGGCCGTCTCTTCCCCTGTGTTGATCTGTTTCCTCTTGACCCAAACAGTGGTCTAAGGGGTGGGTGTGTCTCCACACTGGCCACTCCCTCCATGCAGGGCCCTCTGTCATCTTGTCGTCCCTCTTGGTCTTTCAGCACAAGGCAGGTGCTCTCAAAGACTTTGGGAAGCTGTAGACTGGCCTGTCCCTGGCAAAGCCCTGTGGGCACATCAAGGTCCAAGTCATCCCTTCCGTTCTTTTTTTTTTTTTTAAAGGAAGTTTGTTTTTTTTTTAATTTATTTATTTATTTTGTATACAGCATGTATGACCACCAG